GTTTCAGTAAAAGAGGAACAGTGTTCAATAGTTCCAGTGTTCACTTCCAGTCTTACCCGGGTTAGAATTGGTTTTCAGTAACCTATGCTTGCCGTAAGAAGCGACTTACGGGATGGGATGATCAGGACCGCTGACTTGGTTGAAGCATGTCATTGTATTCCAACTGCGTAGATAGATGCCCATGATGTCAGTCACTGGACTGACTGGTCCAACCAACCCTTAATACATTACATCGTTACGTTGCGTTTATGGAACTCCAGTGGGGTATGTAAAGTTTTGTAACACCCACTCACGAGTATTCCAGCAATATGACGGCGGACTGTAAATAATCCAGTCTGGGCCAGAGCCCGTTTTTCAACGGGATATGTATTAGTTTCTTACCGCTATTGCTGCTGGCAACTCAAGTTGCCCATTTAACTGCCTTTGCTTAACTACCCACAAGTATTGCCTCACCTAGACCTTTAACCAAATATATTCTTCTCTTATTTATTTGGCCTGTCCTTTCAGGCCGTTTCGGTCTTATGTGTTTAAAAAATCAAGCAATATGACGGCGGCCTGTAAATAATCCAATCTTGGCCAGACAATCCTGTGATTTATCATATGGGCAACGACACGCGCCTTGGGGTACGATGCCGGGAAATGAGTCCAGTCACCGATCCTGACCACGCGATCCATAAACACCCCAGCAGAGGCTAATGGGGGCCTACTCTAGCCTGGAACCCCCAGTGACGCTCCATATAAACAACGTAAAGCGATAATGTATTAGCGATTGACTGGATCCACGCTTACAAGAAACAAAAGACAGCTTTACGCAAGCACCTATACCTTGGAAAGATATTGACTGACAAGTGTATGATTTTGAACGTTCACACAGCCACGTTAATGTAATGTTGAGTGGACTCTGCACCCGTCTTTTTAATATGTCGGGCAAGTAAACCCTTGAAAATTGGATTTGATAAAAAAAAAATGACAAACGTTATCAATTCGTAACTAGGTAATGTCTGGTATCTGTGAACAAACCCAAACTGATCATGACAGTGCCTGCTTCACTCTGCTCATTATGTCACCATGGAATAACCATTTCTTGTTGGTTTTATTTTTAGCCGTCAAGAAACATGAGTGTGTACGTTCTTTTGCCCGCCAGTGTATCTGATACTTTGCAGTTTCTCCGCCGGAGATTGTCAAAGTCAAAATCAACTTTCCACTCGGGTAGTTTGTCGTTGTGTGATATATGCGCAAGGCGATAGAGACCCGAAGGTGTATCGATTTCGCATGTTTTGAACATAAGCACTTATTCAACACACATGTACTAAGGACAGTAGCATTGTTTGAATAAACAAGCAGGTTGTCAGCAGTAACAAAGGAATCAATAGTCTAAGGGGGCGTCCATAATAGAAGTTGGCATGTACATTTGCAGTGTTTAACGCCCTCGTATTAAACATATGCGCGATCCTCACATTAGTTCTTATAGTGACTTTCCTTTTATCTCACGGTACTAAAAACGTCAACGCCAGAGAAAAATCTCAATAATATCCTTCGAAACAGATACCAGATTCCAGGTGCAATTAAAAATATTGATGAAAATTATTTGAATGGATCACTGAAAATCAAGGAAGACTCCAGGTGTCATTCGTCACCACTCGCCCGTTTCCGTAACCTGCAAGAAGACTCGTCCCCCTATCGATGAATGTTATGTGCGAAAATACGACAAACCAATCAGAATGCGCGTATGATTTCAAGTTCTTCGTCAAAGAATCCCTCAGAAACAATTTATGATTTTACATATGTCTTGCATCTAAAAATATACCCAAGACACAGTTAAATGTGGTCAATCATATTGTATAAATCCGCATGTCCCGATGTGCTTTTAATTGCATCTGAAATATATATAATATATGGGGACATATATGTGAAACATTACGCAACGATTTGACAATTGTTTTAGGTATGCCCGTTTGCGCTAAGATGGAACCCGGTCGCACAAATGGCCACGAGAGGTGCACGAGTCGCTATTCGGCTTGTCCCGGAATAACACGAGTTAGTCACGAATGTCCAGGTGTTTGCGAAAACAATATCCAAAGCCGATCAGTGTACTATCAGCTCCAGCTTATGACGTCTACTTTTCTCAATTGTTTAGGTACATTTTAGTCCATCCAAACAGCTTATAGCACATATTCAGAGGAGTGTTCTATATATGACACTTGCTTGACAGCCTGGTGCGGGATGCTATCCCATGCTGTCACTGTGATCTTCATATGGGGTTTTCACGCCTCCTTAGCAACTGGTACTCTTTAATGAAAACTGGGTGAGTGGTTGCTGCTGCTGCTGCTGCTGCTGCTGCTGCTGGTACAAAAGGTCATGCTTATCATTTTCGCCAACACCTGATATCATCACTGATTTTCAGTGATCCCTTCTTAATTATTTTCCCTTTAATGCCCTGTTTGGGTAGATATTCAAAACACCGACGTTCAATTTGGATTTACTGGAGCCGATTCGGTCCCATTTGGGTCCTTCGCAAGGAGACTATGTCTCAGATTTGCCTTCACGGCGTTTATAGAGCTGATGCTGAATATGTCAAATGGATTGAATTGTGTTCCGCAAATTTTTTTGGAAACGTTTCCCCTTGGGAATTGAAGCAGGGAAATAGTTTTGACATTTTAGACTCTCCTTAGGTCAACCATGTATACGGTTAAATTGTGTATCAGTCAACTTTTTTAATGCTTCTTTAAGATTTATGTAAACGCTACTTTCATTTACGCAATTGTCCCTCGTTTAAACCATTTCTCGTTTGTTTCAATATTAGCCAACCGCCTGCATGGTCTTGTGGTAGAGCGTCCGCCTGGAGAGGGAAAGGTCCAGGGTTCGATCCCCGTCCGCGTCGTACCAAAAGACGCTAAAAGATGGTTCTTGTTGTTACCCTGACTGGCACTCGGCATTAAGGGGCTAAAACAAGGACTGGTCGGCTCGGAGTCCGCATACAGTGTCTGAGTGGGGTATTCATGTAAAACTGCGGCATGGTATCTCAGTGAGCTCACTATAAATCGACATCAGTCCGGACTAGTACAAGCAGCCACATACACACTCGTGTATGCGACGTTAAACCCCATTTCACCTCACCTCACCTCATTATTAGCCACCATAAAAGATGTGTGTTTACTTTGGCCTAGCAGTTTATAATGTCAGAAATAAGATCCACCTGGTGACCGTCAACGAATTGTCAGTGTGATTGTCTAAATTGTGACGTGAAAAGGAAGAGACGTCACAGAAAACATGACGTCATCATGTCCGTACAGGCGGCCAGCTGGGACTTTTGTGGCTTTTTACAAGAGGTTAGGTGAAATGGGGTAGAACGTCGCGTCCACGATTATTGCACATAAATAGCGACGTGCATGCACGTGTGTTTGTGTGTGTGACTGGTTGTACTAGTCCGAAATAATGCCGATTTTATAGTGCTAGCCCACTCGCGTACCGTGCCGCAGTACACTGACCCCGAGCCGACCAGTCCCTGTTTTAGTCCCTTAATGTCTAGCGCCAGGCAGGGCAAATGCCATATTGTAACGTATTTTCGTATGACGCGGCGGGGTTCAAACTCACGGACCTTCCGCTCTCCGGGCGGACGTTCTACCACTAGGCCCCCTAGTCCATGGAGGCCGCTATTAGACAATCAGATAGCTTGTTTATCTTAGTGAGTGAGTATGGTTTTACGCCGCTTTTAGCAATATTCAAGCAATATCACGGCGGGGGACACCAGAAATGGGCTTCACACATTGTACCCATGTCGGGAATCGAACCCGGGTCTTCGGCGTGACGAGCCAACGCTTTAACCACTAGGCTACCCGACCGCCCCTTGTTTATCTGAGGAGTAATGAGGAGTAATGATACATGTCCTTATACTCCCCACTGCCGCGGCTCCAGTGTGATATTTAATTTATTTTGCAAATCATTATACTATATAATGCATTTTGAGAGACTTCCATTTGCACAGACAGCACTAGTGTCTCTGTACACACGTTAATTTAGAAACACAATAAAACACGTGATATGCACATGAGCTACCTGGTATGTTTTGAATTTATAGTCCACCATGACATATTTGAATCGACCATTCTGATTGGCCAGCCACTGGTATTTAATCCATAGTAGAACATTAGTGTGGTGCTGAGCTCTGCGCTCTGGGGAAAACTTAATTGAAAGCACATTGTTAAAACCCATCTACCAGACGGGAAATAGTGATTGATCATTAACTACATAAACGTTGCGAAATAGCCTATTGTAGGTCCTAGATTATTTATAGAAGGTTTGGAAATAGATTTTACTCAGAAAATTCGACAGCAACCAAGTCAGTGTATTGCGAAATTCTGTATCATCAACACAGCTTGACATTTGCCGTTTTCTATCACGTGCAGTGTGATAGCTTCCTGTCGGGAGAACATTATGACGTCATCACTTATCACTTTCCCTGTTACCAAAGAGTGAGTTAATAATATTTAACGTCGCATCTGAAACAGTTCAAAAGGGAAAGTTCAGGAAAAGGAAAGTTAAAGGCCACACATTTACTGGACATCAAGTCACACAAGTTCGATCGACATGTAACTTCGATCGGCCATTTTGAATGATATTTCTCGCGATATGTAACGAGAAATTACGGTACCTGCAGCTTTGATCTTCTGACAACACCGCTTTCGTTCGAAAATGCTTCGTGTCAAGTTACCAAACGTAAGTAATAGCTCATATTCAGCAAACAACTACTTTTTAACCCGAGATCACTAATGTAACATGATCAGCTCAAATAAAATGTCAATTGTAATAAATGCACACGTTGTAAATCGACGGCACACCTGTCGTCTGCTTGTTTACGTTCATGGTGTAAATGTCACGTGATGAGACGTGATGTGCTCGCCAAAATTTAAAACTATGGAAACAAATTAGGGTCATTTCTTATTGAAAACGTTATGCTTTTTCAGAACTTCTGTCTCTGGAGTTTTGGTGATATATGAAATAAACCTTTATTTTTACAGGTTTTGACCAATGGTGAACCAACCAGAAGAGGTCAAATTAGGCAATATTTGTCTGCAGCTCTAGACAAGGCATATAATGCTGTTTTAGATGGAATGGCAATTAGGAAAGCTGCCACTACCTTTGCTGTTCCATATGCTACACTGCATGACAGGATTAGTGGGAAGGTTTCTATTGAATGTAGTACCACTGGTAGAGAACCACTATTGTCCATGGAAGAAGAACAGGGACTTGTTTCACATATTGAAGCCATAGCAAATTTTGGGTATGGCTATACAAGGGCTGAAGTTACTACTATTGCCACAGACCTAGCAATATATGTTGGAAAGAAGTCAAAGAATGAACAACCCCTATCGCTTCAGTGGTTCTATGGGTTTATGAAGCGATGGCCTGATCTGTCTGTGAAGAAGCCACGAACCCTTGAGATACAGAGAGCAAAAGCTACCTCAGAGGAGACGATCACTCATTATTTTAATGAGCTTGGGCACATCATTGATAAGTACAACCTGAAGACATGCCCTCATCGCATTTATAATGTTGACGAAAAGGGACTTGTGGAGCATCATACCCCACCATCAGTTGTTACATCGAGTCAGAGTACTCCAGCTGCAGTCACAACATCAAGATCAAGTACTACAACTGTTATAGGTTGCGGCAATGCGGCTGGTAGTTCTATACCACCGTATTTTGTATTCAAGGGCAAGAGGATGCGGGAAGAACTCCTTTCAGGAAGTACCCCTGGAGCAGCAGGCACTGTAAGCGACTCTGGCTGGTCAAACACGGAGATTTTTCAGCACTATCTGACAGAGCATTTCCTGAAGCATGCTGTCGCCGCGTCTGCAGATAGTCCACTTCTTATTGTGTATGATGGTCACAGATCACACGTATCTATTCCACTCATCGAATGGGCACGTCAACATCACATTATTTTGTTTGTACTGCCTGCACACACTTCCCATGTTTTACAGCCATTGGATGTTGGTTGCTTTGGACCTTTTGCTAAAATTTACAACAATCTCCGTCATACGTATATGCGGGAAAATGCCACAAGTTCAGTTGATAAACATTCTGTTTGTGAACTTGGTTGTAGAGCTTATAACCTGTCGCTGACACCAACAAATCTGCAATCCTCTTTCAGGAAATGTGGAGTCTATCCCTTTGACAAGTCTACCACCGCCAATATCAACTTTGCGCCATCAACAGTTTTTAAATCGACTGAACCTTTGCTGCATCCTGATACTGGTGTTATTGATTCATGTGTGCCAGTTGGAGACAAGGTTGTCACTTCACCTACTGAGGGCAATGATGTAGCAGGATTCTTTAAAGACAAGACGACTGTACTTTTCAAGAAAGCTGTGCCTACTAAAAAGAGAAACGTTCTGAGCGCTGTTGTCGGGGGCAAGGCCATCACCGAAGACGTCATTCTGAATAAAATTATTTCCCACCAGACTGTGAAATCGGCACCCCAAAAAGGAAAGCAAGCACCTAAACCAAGTAAATCTTTAAATAAAACAACTACTGTCACTGCAACGAATGCAAGTACTGGAACTTCACGGTCCAACGCGCATCAGGACGATAGTTTTGATAGTGATGTGACAAGTGATGACGAACTCTGCTGCAAATGTAGCAAATTTGTACCTGATGAGGTTCGAGCTAATGTCTCACTGATCATTACAACCTGGGCACACTGTACCCACCCTACATGTCAGCACTGGACACATTTATGTTTCTGCACGCCAGTTCGTGTTGTGCGTCGACATTCTGAGTTTTGGTGCCCCTGTCACGATTAGCCTGGAGAATAACTCCCTGCATCAACCTTGTAAATAATCTGGATATTTGTTACTTTTCATCGGGTTTTTTTCAATATTAAAACATAAAATGAACGTTAGATGGACAAAGATGTCATAAAACAACTGCGGACTGTTCTAATTCGGATTTTGACACAAGAGATCGTCCATATATGTCATCCCGGTTATGCGACAAGCCAACCAATCAAATGATCGAACTTGTGTGACGTAGCCTTCTGGGTCACTTCTGTTGACAGTGAGAGGGCGGCCATGCCGCGAGTGTCAATTTCAATGGAAATACGTGGATTTGGGAAATGTTTGTCATAAATAAACAAGTTCACAGGTAAGATATTTGAAAAAAAGATTATATGAATGTTACTATGAATATTCAGCGACTTTTCGTAAGTGATCGAACTTCCATGACACGAGGATAAATATTAACATACTCTTCTGTAATATATCACGTAAGCGCTAATAGATTCTTAGATCGTTTTTGACGGGTGCCACTGGTGGGACGGGATTCGCTCGATCACGTGGTGGACACATGCTTGTGATATAGTCGGACTTTCTTACAATATTAAAACAGGATTTTAGTACACGATTACGAATTAGTTCCAACAATTTCACCCTTGTTGAGAAATAATCGTGTGTAAAATATACATAGCATTGTGTTTCTCGGTACAATTGATGTAATGGGAGGCAACGGCAGTGGTCACTATCATCACTATGTCACTATTTGTTAGAGATTCATGAACACATGACTTTACTTTCATGATTTCTTATTATTATGGAAAGGATTTTGTCGTTTGAATTACTTGACTTCTGTGAGTTACATTTCAGTTGCTGACTTAAAATATACGTACTGCACCGGGCGTCACGGGTGATGGGGGATCGATTGCATAGATGCCCATGTAGTCTTCACGATGACCTGATAACCAAAGGTTGCACGGTCCATCAACTCGGGGACGCATGAGTGACTGCAGTCGATATACTGCTTTCTGACAGAGATATAATATTAACAGTTGTGTGAAAGGACGTTGGACATGCATGAATACGATGGATGTGACCGCATCAATGATGCACCAGAACAGCCATGATTGTTGCGGGGTGCAGGTGCCCGGACACATCTGTACATCTGTAACCACTATAGCGTGTAGAGATAGACGGAACGTAAATGCTTGGGACAATGGGTGTATGAACGACTGGGACACCCGTGCCACCTAATCGTTAAAGTTTTTCGGTGCTCATCATTTGGTAGTTATTACTTATCATTCCATTGTATTATCCAGACATAATGAAATAGGGACGGTCGGGTAGTCTACAGGTTAAAGCGTTCGCTCCCGACATTGGTAAAATGTGTGAAGCCAATTTCTGCCGTGGTATTGCTGGAATATTGCTAAAAGCGGCGTAAAACCATACTCACTCACTCACATAATGTAATAGTTAATATTAGATAGTCATTATAACAGTAATTAATGTGTTCTTAAACTGTCTAATAATATAGGCAACAAGACCTTTCCATTTCATAAGAAATCTCGGCCAAGAACAGAGTCGATTGTACGATTCCGACTTTATCACGAGCATGTGTTCACAATACAATATATACAAAAAAGAAAAGTATAAGTACGTTTTGTCATTAATATTTCCAGTTCATGCTGGGGGGCACGGGTGGCTCAGTCGTCTAAGGCGCCGCGATTCGCTGTGCAGAGTTGCGTCCCTTGGGCACGCCAGAAACCTATGATTGTGGGTTCGAATCCCGGTTCGCCCCGATTATGTTTCTAGGTTTGTCAGCACCATACCCGTGCTCGTGGGTTTCACCGAAGTGGTAAACGTCTGAGACCTGCATCACTCCGGGCTTTCCTCCCACATTAAGCTGACACGCCGCGATATAACTGGAATATTGTTAAAAGCGGCGTAAAACCCAACTCACTCACTCACTCCAGTTCATGCTGCATGAAAGTTGTGTATACATATTTCTATACATGTGTTCACAAAGAATGAAAAGGGATCAGTCGTTCTGAATTTACACACTGAACTTGTCACACATACATAAAGTTCTAAGACTTTAGGTAAAAACGTCAGAGACGATTCTTCCAGGATAATGTGGTGTCAATGAATCGTTTATGTTTTTGTTGAACATGAACATATGTTCACGTCAAAAGTAAAAGAAACAATACGTGCTTTTTTTTTATGTGTATATATACTCAGCAACAAAAGTTCCTGTGACACGATATAAAACAAGAACCTGATCAAAGTAGACGCACACCTGAAAGAATTATTATTTTCAAACAGATAACGGACCATTAAACAAGTTACACATTATATGACACATGTCTAGCAGAGAAACGACGTTATGACAAGAGAAAGATGCAAGAACGGAAATGTCAATTTACACGTCAGAAGCGTGTGTGTCCCCCTCTTGCTTATATGCATGCAATGCATCTCCTTCGCACTGAACGGGTCAAACGTCCAATACAGTATTGTGGAATGGCATCCCATATTTCCACCAGCCTGTCTCGTAGTTCCTGGACTGTAGTCGGAGCACGTGGTAAACGTCGGTCCATTGCGTCCCAAATGTCTTCCTCCACAACACAGTTCTGAGCGTAACGTTCACCGCTACGTCGGTATACTCGAATTCGGCCATCGCTGTGGGAGAGGTGAAAACGAGACGTGTCGGTGAACAGCACCTATCTCAACTGAACGGCCACCCAACCTTTCGCTGTCTATACCACTACAGACACAATCGGCGGTGACTGTTGATCAGAACTGAGCGTCTGGCTGGTCTCCTCGCAACAATCCCGTAACGTCTAAGACGGTGACGTACAGTCTGTGCCGATATTCGACAAAAGCAAGGTATGGTTCTCGCAGTGACTTTGCAGGCTGGAACCGATTTCGCAGATGGGTGGTTCGAATCCAACGATCCTTGGTCGGTCTCTGACAGTGTTTGTTTGCTGCCACCGCTGCCATAACGTCCAAATGGTGTTTCTCTACACGTCCAATCGCCTAGCAACTTCACGATGCGACGTTTGTGACTGGAGCGTACCAATGGCTCTCAAGCGGTCATTTTCAGATAGGCGTGGCATCTCCAACCTTCAAATAGTGATTGAAATTTGATGTTTTTCCGTGTTGCAGTTGTCAAGACAAGCAGAAACAATGCATACTGAATCCCTGCACCACTTTGATACCCTGGTATACATCATCAGTTGCATGATTGCTGCAGGAAAGACACTTCTTGCCATCAAATCATGCTTTGCGGGGGTTTCGTTTGTGCTACATGTTTTCATATTTTCGTAATCGATTGCTAACCAGAAAGGTTTTTCGTGTATGCAACCGATTGGAAACGAACTTTTGTTGCTGAGTATATGTACATTCTGAAACAGAAAACCTTCGTAAATTGAATTTTGAAACACCAATCTCAATTTTATGTTTTTAAATCACCTGTTACACAAATATTTCCAGTTACCTTATCTTGTATTTCTTCCCTATCATTGCATTTTACTAGATATTATATAATACGTTTATGTTAAAAGCTTCATTATAAAGAAGTTATGTAAATTAGCTTGTGTTAAATGCGAAAACTAAGGAATTATTAATTAGACATAAGAAGAACCTGTCACCATCAATCTCGAGTCTGCGGTAGTTGTTTCGGAATATTATATTCAGATACATTTGCAGCTGACAAGTTAAAATGGAATATCAACCCTGGTCCTGTTTTTAGAAATGTCAACAAAATTCTTTTTGCGTAAATTACGATCTTTTAATGTTAACAAGTGTGTATTGTCTCTTTCCGTTGTTTCGTTGAAAATGTTTCAACGTCTTCGATCCTGTGCTGGAACGGAGATCTTTCTGTTCAAAACAAATCACGCCTTGGTTATTTTCGTAGCTTGTAAGATATCTGGTTTCCAGTTTAACGGTTTATCATGGGTGAATTATTTTAATAACGCTATAAATTAGTTGAATTAAGTTTAAAATGTATTGAACTAGTGTCATGATACTTGTAGAAACATCTTTAAGTTTTTGAGCAAAGGAAAATATTGTCGACCATGGGCCAAACTTTTTCGACCATAGGGCGACATACATTAAATTTTGAGTTTTCGAAACATTTTTTTTTCTTTCTTTCTTAGTATTACCCATGAAAACAGCATGTTCAATTTTGAAAATACATTCGACTGGCCACAGCATGGAGAGTTTCTGGACAAATGGGTTTCCAGAATTAAAATGGGACGTGTTCTGTATATTTTATACGAAAGGCGTTGTTTTTTAAATGATCACTTCATTTTTTTAAAGAGTATGCACTTCTACCTTCTGGCCGGTGATATTATTGTCAGGTCTAAAAACAAATCGAGCTTTAAGATCTTCTATCCCATCATGTATCCGTCTCTTTAATGATCGTTCATTTCTGTACTGTTTTAGTCTCTTTGTATGTTTACAATCTGTTAGCACCTTACTATTTACAAAGAATTGCCTTGCGGGTAATAAAGTGTTATCATTGTCAGAACTAGCGGGAAAATGATCAGTCATTTAAAGGGGCAACTGGGTGCTCCTCGAGGATGACGACCTCCAAGACAATACGCTGCTTATTCAACTGTGTGGCGAGAGAATGTCCAGTCGTTTCAGAGGATATAGGAAGTGGATATTAACTACAATTTATCACATGATGGGTAGGTTTCTCGGCAGGATAAAGTCAACGGATAAAAGCAATATCCGTTGGGGTCATATGCGGATAGAGATGCAAATATCAAAGGTCAAGCAGGGACTACTTTCAGCGTTTAAAGACAAACATGGCGTCACCCTTGTCATTCGGCGATCGGGTCAGAATTTACCATCGGGAATTTCGAGAAACTTCTGGGATAATCATTATCAAAAGAATAGTCTAATATACTGAAAACCAGTGTCTAACTGTGACGTAGCTAAGGCATTTTACAACTTTTATGACATAAATTGCGAAACAATTAAGCGAGGACACTAGCCTAGCGGGATCAGTTTCAATAGCTGTGCTTGTAGACCTCTGGCTCG